TTCTTTTTCGTTTTTCTTTCCTTTTTCTTCTCCTACATGTGTACCGCCGTTTTTGGGCGCGTTTCCGATTAGCGCTACATGGCTATCACGAATTGCCAAAGATAAGGCGGTAGCACTTCAAGCGCAACTTCTGAAGTGTGATACTTACGATTAAATTTCTTTCTCCTTATTCCTTCTCATTGCCTCCCGATTTTTCAAAGGCTCAGCAAACTCTTACAGCTGCCTTCTCTTCTGTACAGGACCACTAAGCTACTTTAGCGCAATCCGTAGCGCTCGGGGGTGGGGGAGAGCTGTCCGTAGCAGGTCAGATCCACGGGAACACTCACTTTGAGGACTAAGCCTCAAAGGAGAGGAGGGACGAGGTCTAAATTCTCCAAAATTTGTTCCTCTCCGATAAGCCTAGTAGCCTTTCTACTGGTCCTCTGGAGGCACATTGCGCCGCTATTTTTCTTTCGGAGTCGGACACCAGCTTAATTTTCAGGGTATCATGAAGTTAGGGGGGGGGGGTGGGGACATGTGGTGTGACAGTTCATAAATATTATATTTTTTTACATGAGAAAAGACTCATGCAAGGGCTTTTTTAATGTTTGTTCCTGTTACCGGTGCTGGCTGTACATCTAAGCGCCTGACGTGATCTTCCTCATGTAAGTAAATAGTAGATTCTGAAGTGACCCAATTTTTCAAGCAGGCGGTGTTGAATTATCCGGACCATAGATGGAAAAGCTGCCCGAAGCCCAAATGCTACCAAGGGTTTTGCGCTCATCCAGGAAGCCCAAAAAGCAATGAAGTATTTTGCTTGCCCTGCAGCAGTGACTGTTGAGCCACCACCATACTCCCACCCTCCCCCCCCAAAGCTCGAGCAAAATGATTTGTTATGACTGGTGTGGTCATTTTTGAAGACTCTTTGCCCGAATGACATGACGTTTAGAAATTCTTTTTTTGTTTAATCTTTTTGTGCGCGTCTTTTTTCGGTTATCGAATGCAAGCGCTGTTACGCTTTCCCGCTAAAGAAAATGTCACAATACTGAGAAAACAATTTTTTTGATATTGTCCTTCAATTTCCTTTTTTGTCCATCAATTTCATTCTTCTGAAAAATTTCAACCGGAAGTTAACATCTGCTCTGATTGCGCCCCATTGAATCCAAACTTCCTGCACTTTTCGCGCGCTTCTTTCTCACTTTCAAATTCCATTTTCTTTATTTCTCTCCGGAGAAAAAGGAAAAGGGCCAATATGTTGAAGTGCAAACCGCCCACGACCACCCACGCAAGCTTCCGGGGTCTGAAGCCCTCAGTGCTATGCGGTAGGTCCTGGTCCGTGCCCGCCCGGGTGACATGACGCTATGCGGGGTCTACATCGTTGAATGTCGTTGTTGTACGTTGTGCCCCGCGCTCGCGTTTATGTTATGTTTGCGCGAGCAACGACGACAAACGGCTGTGAGATATCTCTGATATAAGCGGAAGAGCGGAAAACACGGAAGTCTCCCATGTGGGGGTCTTATATGTGGCACCCCCGCCCCTGTTTCAGGTCACTGCAATGAAACAGCGGTGTTGCCGTAAACCATATGATATAGCCGATCAATCGATATCAGATTGATCGCTATCTTGTTGCGGTTACTTGATAGTTCTCTAATAGCCAGCCGGGGCCATCTGGCAGTCTGTACTATTAACGATCTAATGATTCATCATGTTCATGAGCGAATGTTAGCAAATCATTACACTACTAGAACTATGGATTGATTGGAGCTGGGACATCCTTAACCCTATCTTAGATGATTCAGGGCTAAGATTTATCCCTGGGAAAAAGACAAAATTGTGGTTGACGCTCGTCACTTTGGGTGTGCGCCATGCAATCGCTTTTCATCCAAAATCGTAGGGACATTTGAATGTGCTCCCAACTTTTTTCCTTGAACAAACTAAAAGATTTTTACAGTTTTTAAGTGTAATAGAATTCGTGTCGGCGCTATCGCAAGATACGGGGGCATTGTAGTGGGAGGGCCTTAGAAATCTCGTGAAAACCCTTTTTTGTTAAAATCGGGACTAAGCCTTAGGCAGGAAGAGAGAGACTCCAGGTGCATGAGCAATTTTCATTTTCCCCAGAGTTCCTGCCCCCTCCTAGGCTTAGTCCCAAAGGATGCCCCCGTATATTGCGATAGCGCCTCCATGTCAAACTTTTGATAATCAGATGATGACCTGATTTTCTGATTATCACTACTGTCGTGCGAACTACTGCCAAAATGGTCACGAGGGTGTTGAAAAAATCGGATTAGAGATTTGATAAGAATGAAAGTGCTAGGCCAAAAAGGCTACATGGACCTCCCATTGAAGGGCGCGTGGCTGGCGTACCAACCATCAGCAACCATCGGCTTCAAAGTCATCTGAATGCGAGGAATTCATCATCATCTCCTCGTACGCACTTTTTTCCCCTCGATGAGAGATATCGGATCGCTTGTGATTTTCAGCTTTTGTCGTCGCTTTTACATACTTGACTCGCAGTTAATCATGTGAATGTTCTCATTCTTAGCCGAAAAGCTCAAAAGTTCACTTTTTTCACGTGAAAGTCCAGTAATCCATCCATTTCCTTTGGAAGGCCTCAAAACCGCTTGTTTCGAAAGACATCGGGTTTTTTCGTCTCCAAAAGGGAGGTGGGGTCGTCAAATTTTCAGAATTCAAGAAAGGGTGGGTTGACTCTGCTTGTGAGCCCGTAGGGTGTGCCATTTACCCCAGCCAGGAAGAAAGGAGCGACGAGGGAAAACCGATATCTCTCGAAACAAGCGGTTTTGGGGCTTTCATTTATTTTTTCCATATTTTTTTCGGGTCAATAGGCCTCAGCATCATCATCACTCAGATGGCCTTCTCAAGACAGTTCCCCTTTCCAAACCTCAAAGCACCACCCTCGCCATTATCTCTGTTTTTAGAGTATTTGATTCCAAAAGCCCAATCCGACCCAATCCAACTCCTCAACAAACTCAAACTTTGCCTTTCAAAAACCACCGTCGAGTGAGGGAGAGGGGGGGTACTGAAGAAATGGCAAGTGTTCTGATGCCACCCATTTCATGCTTCTTCCCTAGAGTTCCCGACAAAATCGTCAAAAATCCGTCAAAAACGATCCCTCTCCTCCAGCCACGAACCTATTGAACTCCACATATACGAGCCCCTTTTTCAAAACGTCTGACTTTCGCCAACTCCAGGTACGACCCTCCCCCTTGCCTT